TAATGATAAAACAGCGGAAAGTCTCTATTATACTTACGGATAGTTTGCCTTTGAAAACTTTAGCAAAATTAAATTAATTTAAAGTTCAAAAAGATAATGGATTATTAAATTTTGTAATACCATTCATTGTAGAGGCTTCATTACGAAGTTGATCATTGGTTTTGTTTGGCTTCATTTGATTGGTTGCGATTAGAAGTCATCTTCTACGATTCAATTTCATCACAGTATTGATTGTTATTCCAGAAGATTAGAAATCCACTGTTATGTTTCTCTCATAATTATTTTAGATTATTTTGTAAGGATTTTTTTAATTTTTTATAATATTATATATACATAAGTCTCATATAGAAAGCTTTTGTTATTTTATTTGTATTATCCAAATAATATTGAACGTAATGTTTGGGATTGAAATTTTAATACATCCGGTCTATTTTGTAATCTATGTAATACGAGATGTTCTATGTAATTTATCGTTAGTTCGACGCGAATGCTGTTAAACTTTATAACAACTATCTTCCAGTACCATGTTGGCATCAGGTGCGCATATAACGTTATGAATCGGGAATTATGTTATTACTGAGATTATTATCACTTAAGAAACTATTAAACATAAGATTATTACCAGCTAATTGACACATGTACAGAAGTAGATAAGTTTAATAAATAATTAGACAAATAAATAAGTGTAATATTTATCAGAAGTAATTATTACAGCTTTTATTATATGCTGAATCATTTCCAAATAAAAAATTTTACATAAACATGTTTTTGCAAAATATATTAATTTTTTACGATTATTTCTCTCTTTTTGCAATTAATATAAAATACTTTACAACGATCTTAAGATTTGCGTACATTGAAGACAATATATACTTACAGCTCTATCGATTTTTGTCGTCGCTTACATCGACGAAAGTTTAGGCAAACTTCTTACGATTCACTTACAAATCACTTTACCGTACGATTCACTCGAATAACTCACTTTCGACGCTATCACGACTCCAGGGACGATAATGATCCATTAAGAAAGCCGGAACTCGGCCATTCCGGCCAATACTTCGACGGGCTTGCTCTTTGCTGTCGCGGCTTGACGAGAAACGATTTCACG